TAGCATTTCCTTTTTCTTTACTTAAGTAAGATGGTTATTTATAACCTTTCTTTCTTAACTAAAATATTAGTTCAATAGATTGTTGCATGGCTTATACATTTCATTTTAGTAAAGGTGGTTCTTGGATAATCATCTCTATTTGATACCAATCAAAGAATTCATTCATTTTTCTAAGCCAATCTAAGAACTTATTGGGGACATAATCCATCATATATAGGAGCATCTACCTTAATCTTCTTTTGGATTCAATTAAGGCTTCATGATTCTTAGGTTGATCATTTTATGGAGATTCTTAAAAGGTTATTTTTCACGCTGAATTTGCTACCTAGGATTGTGATATGCCAAGGGGGGTGCACCTGGTTTGTCTAGACTAGCCCAGTTAGATTGGTTCAGGGTAGCTAAGCCGACCGACCCAGCCTTGGCCAAACCATCACTTTGGTTGGGCGAAACCAGCAACAACAGAGAGGATATTTCAGCCTCCCTTGTGGGGTCCAGGGGAGCTATTATTCATTTTATAAGGAGGAATCAAGATGGAGTTATTTAGGAATATTTTCTAATTGTGTTTATGCTACTTATGAATGATTTAATTGTTTAGAAAGATTATGTAATTGTATTTATGTTGTTTAGGAAAATTTTATTTGTTTAGGAATATTTCCTAATTGTGTTTATATGTTTAGGAAGGTTTTAATTATTTATTTCCTAATTGTGTTTATGCTGTTTAGGAATGCTCCAACTGTGTTTATTTTGAGTGAGGGCTATTTAAGGGGAGTTTTGTCTAGGGTTAGGAGACATATGTGCTGAGTTTATTTTCTAGTAAGATGGTTACCTTGCATAGATTGTGAGTTACCTTGCACCGATTAGGGTTTGTTGGAGACACGATCTACCTCTCGAATAGTAGATCAATTGTATCACTCATTTATGTTGAAGAAATAATAAAAAAATAGGCCCCATATTTGTATTCCAGCATTTTTATTCTATCTATTTTGATATTTTTACTTCCAAGATGCATTGGATTTTTGAAATAATCTTCTCTTACGATTTCAATTTCAATATGTTTTTGAGCTAAAGGAGATGTTTGAACCCACACACTCAAATTTTGAGTTGTAGTGATTATGTTCAAAATAAACTCTTGGATTTTGCTAAACTTTTTATCAAATTTAATGGTGAACTTATTTACCATCATGTTGGTATTAGCTATGATGTACCAAGACTTTTCCTCAAAGAGTCATGCAGTGTCCGACAAGACACACCTTCGACACATGTCGGGCATGCCGAAAATGTGTTCGATTAAAAAAATATTAAATGTAAATTGGACACACATGTCCGACAAGCTTGTCTTAAATATTTTAAGAAAATTAAAAAAATAATTTTTTGTATTTAAAATTTTTATTTATTAAAAATATAAAAACTAAAATTCTTATTTCCTCTTCACAAAACCATAACAATCTCCCGCATTCAATACTCCGTTCATAGAATATTCTCATTTTCATTTCTCCTTGACACGCACGACTTTGGTTTCACAACAATGCTTAATATCATCTCAACATCGATGTTTGATGCTGTTACAACATTGATATTTCAAAACAATCTCAACATCAAAGTATGATACTGTCTTGACATTAATGCTTGTGTTTGTAATTTCTACACCAACAACTTGACAACCATTGTTGTCTGATGTTGTCTTAACATTGACGACCAATACCCTCTCAATACCAATGATAGATGCCCTCTCGACATCAATGCATGATACTTACTACATAACATCGATGCCCAACTCTCAACATCATTGTCCTATCCTCTCTCGATGCCAGGTAAATGGCATCGATGCTTAACTCTCGATGTCCTAATATTAACATTTTAAGCACAAATTCTAGTTATATGACTTATTGTTTCTATTTTTATATTATATTTATTCAATTTTCATACACTATTTTTAAAAATATAAAAAAATATAATACCGTGTCCAATTTGTACCCTATATTTTTAATAGTTGACATGTCCCATGTCCATGTCGTGTCATATTCGTGTTGCTTTGTTCGTGTCCGTGCATCATAGGGTATCAGCCATTTGATTTTGACTAGCTGATTTTGATGCCATGATGCAACAATGAAAGCTATGGAATTAAATTAATATATTTTTTTTAAATATGAAATGCTGGGTGATTTAAAGAGAATTCATGCAAATGATTTTGAAAAATTATTTTATAAGCATTTGTAAATTTGCAAATCATAATTAGAAGAAAAAATAATTATCATTACTAAATTAGAATTAAGATAAAACTCTAAAATGTTCTGAACAAGTTGTCCTATGTTAATAGGAATCAAGGTGAGGTTTAATTTGATTTAGTGGATCACTCCCTCACAGATTTGAATTCTCTCATGTTAATTAGAGTTTGATGAATTTGACTTTGATGGCTAGATCAATATGTGGAGTGAACTAATTGATATTCTTATAATAGTTAATAGAATTACATCAAACTTATAATCTACTATAGCAATTATCTATGAAAAATAAAATATTATTAAAGGACTATTATCATATCCAATGTACAAAGATTATCCTTTTGTTTGGAAGTCAACTCCAGTGCTGCTGCTCCAAGCTTTTCATTCTTCTTGGCGTCCATCTCTAATGCTATCCACCAATTAACATTTGTTATGATTCCAAAAATATGGTGATGTTTGGGTGGTGACTTAGATCACTTGTGTAATCAAATTGGTGGACGGCGGCTTTCTTAAGGTGCCTAAGAGAGTAATGCTATATTTGATGGTGTTTAATTTTGAGTGGAATTAGGGTTGGGAAGGTGTTAGTGGTTGGCCTACCCAATTCCAACAACCAGCTAGGATCTGGGCCTTAGGTTAAACCCATTATAACTTCCTCTTGTGAAGTCCAAATGACATGAAATCAAAACCAAATTGAGGGGGAAGATGTCTTGTTAGGATTTGGAGAATTTGGCAAATTTGTTTGAGTTTGAAAATTTTCCTCAATTTTTCCAAAGGCTGTTCAGAGAATTTCTCTATTTAGTGGTAGGCTAAATTGGATTTAAGAATTCTATTACTTTGGATCTTTGTGAACAAGAACCCTAATAAATAGATGGAAACCAAAGGGTAAAAGTGCCTACAAAACCTAATTTTGAGTTTTTGTTGTTTCATGGAGGAGTTTAGGTCACCCAAATGAAAGTAAATTTAAAACTAGGTATGTTCTGATTTATTTTGACTGATTCTCAAAAAAGTCCTAAATGAATGGGTTAGATTGCTAGAAAAATTTGGTTTAAATTTTCTGGAATGGGGAATGATGGAGAAAATAACTCAAAAGAAAAATGTAGAAATTAAAGCATAGGCAAAGCTCTACTACTTACCAAAAAAGTCATCCTAGAGATGGTATCATCAAACTATTTCTAGTTTGGTGGGCCACCAAGTTCCAATCAAAGGAAGTCTTAAAACTCCAATAGCCACTTCATTGTACTAATTAGAAGTATTTGATACAACGTCACATGAGGGGGAGATTTTAAAATTAAAAAAAGAGAGGAAAGGGGGTGGGTGGCCACTAAATGTAACCACCTTGTAACCACTGCCATTCTTCCCACCCAAGGTTTAAAATTGCGTAAATAAGCCTCGAGGCGTTTTTCGTCCGTGAGACGAGGCGTAAGCCTCGAGGCGGTGTGAGGCGTAAGCCTCACCGACGAAAAATTGCGTAAATGAGAATTTAAGGGTTTTAGCGAGTAAAAAATAGTAAGATTCTATCATATAATAAAAACATCTAAATGACAATTAAAATTAGGGGAAAGTAAGAAAATAAATGCAATAAAATCATTACCAAAGTACAAAACCACAAAATATTAGTCTATCAAAACTCCCAAAGTACAATTAAGAAAGAACATATATAATTCAATCATGTCCCATCACTAAATGCTTCAAGGGAATCTTCTCACCCCTTCATCCTCTCTTATAGAGTCCAATGTCTTCCAATCAAAGCATGCACTCATGAACAAGTAGACTAACACTAACAACTATTACTAAAGATGATGAATAGAACAATATGCCGGATTACCGGGGGTCCAAGGGGGCGCTGCCCCCTGGCGGGGTTCGACCTGTGGGGGTTTCCGGGGGCAGCGCCCCCGGAACAAAATTTTATTGTAAGAGTAATTTTGAAGTTCTATTGGTTTTTGAAGTTCGTAAGTTGTTTTTATGGGAAGATACCGAGTGGTACCGAGCATGTTCCTTAGCAGTACCGAGCATGTACCTAGCGGTACTGAGCAGTACCGAGCATGTACCTAGCAGTACCGAGCAAATACCTAGCTGTACCGAGCATATACTGAGCGGTACCGAGCATGTACCTAGCAGTACCGAGCAAATACCTAGCTATACCGAGCATATACTGAGCGGTACCGAGCATACACTGAGCGATACTAAGCATATATTTGAGGCGCACGCCTCAGCCAAAATTGCGCAATTGCGCCTCTGAGGCGCGCCTCAGTTCAAGTGAGGCGTACGCCTCTGTCAGGAGAGGAATTGCGTAAGCCTCGAGGCGTTTTGGGTCAAATTGCGCAGAGGCGCGCCTCTTACTGCGCAATTTTAATCAGAGTTCCCACCTTTGCATGTCAGTAATCCCATGCATAGGCCGGCCACTCCACTCCAACTTAGTCATTTAATTGGGTTAATTAAAATTGATGATACAATACATAACTTAAAATGCCCTAATACAACACATAAATGCAATAACATTTATAAAGAAACTTCTACATCAATTGATATATAGGCTAAAGGTCAAGAATGGAAGCACATCGTTATGGAAGTGGAGGGTCGTCATGATCTTTTATTTTTTTGAATTACTTATTTGCCTATGTTGAAGAGTTCTAACCCACTCTTACTAATAATATTGTGGGTACATCTTTTTTTGTTAACTGGAGGTTGACGTGATATTCTTATTATTATTTTTTTGCTTATGCACCTATTTCATGTATTCTTTTTCACTCTCACTAAAATAAATCATTTCTTGCACAGCATAATTTTAAGAAATTTCTTGAAGATTCATCTTCTGCATGCTTGTGACAAGAAGGTATCCACAAAAACCAGATGGTGAAATTTGTTGCTGAGCTATCTGTCGATAGAATTTTTTATTTTAACCACATTATGATGCAGAAATAAAATGCAATTCATGCCAGCTACGTATATGTATGCAATGAAAAGTCTTCTTGCCAGACAGATTAAAAGTGTCTTGAGAGGAGGGCCAGACTTGTGCGGCATGACTGTTATTTTTTTGCTTTTGTTGCTTGTCATTGCAATTTTGAGTAGTTGAAGTTATTCTTGTGGTAGTTCTAGTATTGATATATCATATGGTTTCATTTCCTTGTTTACCTTCCAACGTTGGTTTATTATGTAGGAGGATAACAAGGTGGTAGTTAAGAGGAAAACAGAGCTGGGTGGAACATTTTCCATGGCAAGCTGGGTAGTCTTCGTTGGGCTATTGTCGGCGTATGTGCCACCATTTTCTTTAACGTTCTGATTATGTTAATTGTGTTTCTCATTTCATGTCATAACGTAATTCGGTCTTCATTTTTATTAGCTTGACAACCGAAGTTCTATTTGCCAGAATTGAATCTTGCTGAGCATGACATTTTCTTGTATCAGATTGCTGTATCAGATGATTACGAAGAGAAGTATTGAGGTGCAACGAGTCATACCAGCTAATGCACCAGATTTACAATCATTTCTAAATGATCTGGAATTCAATATCACAGTAGTTTCAAGTATGAGCTGTTCCCAATTACGTGGCCTTGATACATTGGTGATCGGAACTCCTGGCTCGATAGAGTATAGAGTCCTTTCTTTGTCAAGTTATGTAGATTATCAATGCAAAAACACAAGCAGCGGTCCTACTATTACTCTTAAATGCACTAGCTGTCAGATTCCCCGAAGAAATCACTATATTTCATGGCAGTTTGTTGATATACTTGATGGTCCTGCCATGGCTGTTGGTTTTCAGTTCAATATTACCTCCAAGGATCACAATAATGACAGGCATATGAGCTTTGTAAGCGGTACAGTGATAGCAAACAATCATACCAGTGATAAACCTAGAACCTATAGAGGAGCTGACCTGAATATTCTAGACGTTCATTTGTTTCCTCAGATACATAATAAGTTACATGATCTGAAGCTCATTAAGCCTCTGGTTCATGACTTTGTTTCGGGTTCATCCTTTTCTGAGGTTGCTGATCTGCAAGCTTCTCTTATGAATCCCAAGGATGGATTGATCAACACAACATTGCGTGTCAGCTATCTTTCTGATTATATAGTAGAGATTGACAATGAAAATGTAATGGGGCCTGGTAAGATGACTTTTTTGTTTTATATTTCTTTTACTTTATGTTGGATTCAAATTTTATCTGTAGGCGACTTCTGATCCTACTATCATGTTTTTGTTTGGTGGGTTAGAATGGAGAATTGAGTGAAGAAACAAGTATGATGGGTAAGTAATAAGCTTTAGTATATTTGTTAGTAATTGAATTTAGCATAAATCTTATTCATCTAGTTTAGTAGTCGGTCAGATTTTCAATTTTTGTATCATGGCTCTCCTAATTGGGAAGTTTTAATGATGATTTGGAGCAATGTATCAGTGTTTTATGTTAATAAAGAAGCGTTTAAGTGGTACCATTTATTAAAAAGCCTTCACCAATAAAATCCTATCAACACTATATCAACTTCCTCATTAGGATGCCTTCTATGCTCAACTCATCAACCTCTTCGAAAACACTCTAGTACTCAACACGATAGGTTGACTTGCATTTTAATCAAGCCTAACTTCCTTTCTCATCAATGTGTTCTCTGTTGACGCACAAACTTATTAGCTCTTGACATTAGACAAATGAAATAGGTGCGCTCTTATTGAGATCATTTTTATGGCTTGGTTGAGTAAAGAATAGTTGTTAGCAAGTCGGACATATTTGGGTTTGTTTAGTCCAATGATTAAATTTGCTTGACTCTTAGACTTGAGTCATTAGGGCCAACATGCTCGGTTGAAGCTTATAGATTTAGAACTCTTCTTGTTTAACTTTTAGAATCTTGGTTTGCCAAAAAGACAACATACTTGTTTTTAAAAACTTCATATATATTGTGTTATAAAATTATTCTTTCTGCTCATGCAATTGGTTGGAACTTTAAAATCAGCTACTATGAGTTTTATTTGTGGGTCTGGATACGATGAATGATGTAAACCTAATTAAATAAAAATACCATTTGTCTTTTAGGATAAATTTAAATAGGCTTGATATTCAAAAATAAAAATAATACCCCTGTCATGCATGGGGATTTTAGATATATCTCTTGATTAGGTTGCTTTATAGAGGATATAACATGAATACTTCTTCGAGTATTAGTCATTAATTGGAGGCATGATAAGTTAATAGGCTTCTTAATAATGCACTCTTAATAATGAGGGGTCTTTCTTAGGTAGGCTCAAAATTGTTGTCAATTCTTTGATAATGAATAACTAGCCTACACTATACCACGACTAATTCTTCTTCTTAGAATTATTGAGGACGCCCCATATAAACAAAGGACCTAGACATCCTTCCTCGATAAATTTTTATGTTCTATTGAGCTTTGAGTATAAGTTCATCAATTATGTCGAGTTCTTTCATTCACATTCAAGCTTTTTTCTCATAAACAAGTTCATATTGGACAATACTCAAAGTTATGGAAACTCAATCTTAAATGACATGACTTCTGCAACTCTAAACTCTAAAATGTGAGTAACTTTGATTGTCATCTTGTAGATGGTGCGATATGCTCACAACATTTTTATCATGTTTATGAGTTGATCTCTTTTGTTGTAGGTGAGGTTTGTTTATTTTGGTGACCAAGGAGCATCAGAGATGACTGTCAAAATTGATGGGATATTATTTTGAGATCTAGTATAGGTCAGGGCTGGAAAATAGGGCTGTTGATGCCTTGTCTAGATGCATGAGGGAGCTCTAGGAGTTAGCCTTTTTGATACCGTTGTTGTTGGATTGAGGGGTTATTAAGGAAGAAAGTGTGCATAATAAGAAGCTGAGAAGGATCTGCTAAAGGAAGGATTAAAGTAGCCATCTTGGCTATTTCGTAGATGGGGAGGGACTTCTATACCAATGAAGATTTGTGCTACCACGAACCTCGATTCATATCCTGTACTTGCTACAAGAGTTCTATGGGAGCATTGTTGGTGGTCACTCTGGTGTGCAGAAGATATACAGGAGATTGATCGCTGAATTATATTGGAAGGGAATGCACAATGATGCAGAGGAGATGGTGGCCAAGTGTGAGGTTTTCCAGAGGAACAAGTATATGGCCATGGTTCCAAGGAGACTACTACAACCATTATTAGCCAAGACATGCTCCTTTTCCTTCATTTGCCTCGGCATCCTTTGGCATGTGTTTAGCTCGTCTTGATGGTGGATGCAAATCCATTAACGAATGATCACTCTTCCATATCGTCTGTTGGTTGTGTCCTCATTGGACTCTTCGCTAGACTACAATTGTTGTTCGATGTCTTTAGGTAAGAAAATTAGTGTTATATTGTATTAAAGTTGAAAAATGGCAAATATAACATCTTTAAGATTCATGAACATTTTGTCTGAATAAAGAAATATTTTTTACTTCTATAATTAAATTGGATCATTTTTTAATAGTTAAACGATCAAATTAAGCATCTTAAATAATCTGGGATTAAAATGATCATCAACAACAACAACATCAAGCTTTTAACCCACCACGGGGGATTGGCTACATGAATCCTTTTTCTCAATGGTGTCCTATTAAGAGCCAAATTCTGATGTAAATCTATTAAATAAAGATCATTTCTAATATTTTCTAAGTTTTTAAAGGTCTACATCTATCTTTTTTTAATCTAGGCCGGTTCTAAAGCATCTATTCTCCTGACCGGCTTTGGTATATATTAAGAGTCAAATGCTCATTAAAATGATCACTCTTATAAATTTGAGAAACCATTTTCTTTGTTATAGCGGAATAGGATCAAAGCATAGATTTCATGTTCTTTGTCTTAACTTAGTATTCTGTAGTCCAGATTCGTATTGTGCTTGACTAAAAAATCAAATATTCTTATCTACTCTCTAGCAGAGAGCATTAAAGATTGCTCCTACTGTACAAGAAGGTTAATGGGAGAGGCGAATAAAATGATTTTTGATAAATCTTAGATATTACCCGTACTGTTTAAATGAAAGATAACAATTATCAAAGCTTGTTTAAATATTTCTAAAACAATTCGCTGATCAAAATATGATTTATTGACTTAGACAGGATAATGAGCGGTAATATTATAATTGATCTACTTTTTATATTTTGACAATGAAGAATTTTTTGTTTCACAATTTCAATATACAACCTTGGTCTTACAAATGTTCTGAAGCGGAGATGCCTATAATATGCTTTCTCTGCATTTCTTCTGCATGATTTGCGTGATTTAGAGGAAGAAAGTAAGCTTTGGTATTTAAATACATTTCACTGTTGTCATTCACATAAAGTGGAAATTTTAAGTGGAGACTGCTCATGATTACTTACGTTTGGTTGTGAGTTGTTTTCAGGTACCTAGGTACTACCGCAGTTATTATTAATCAACTTATGCATGAATTTCTCTGTCTTATGTGATCCACATGATTTCTGATTGTACCATCTCTATAATGGTATAAAATCATTCGTTATTTTTTTGACTAATTTCAACTATAACATGGTTGCAGTTAGTTTTCTAGCCAATGTCGGTGGGATTTATGCAGTTAGTATTGCAATTTTCCTCTACCTGCTAGTGCAAGTAAGTTTTTATGTGTTGGCTATTAATTGATGTTATCTAGGATTATTTATTAGTAGTCACCAATTATTGGCTTGAAAAGGAAGTGAGAGAAAGACCCAGAAGCCATACTAATCATCATTTTCACGAGTTTACTCGGAAACTTCTGTTTTAAATCGTAAACTCGTAGGATATTTTGAATGCTTAAATCATATCTTCAAATTGGAACAATGAAATGTCCTTTTGAGAAAATATTTTCAGTTTGGTTGATTTTTTCCTTTATTTTGTGAATTTAAGTTCTCTTGGTACTGCATCTACAAAATTCTCTGGATGGGTTTAATATAATTTTGGCTATCCTTATTTGCAACACATTTCGATCCTTGTTATCTAGCAGCTGACTGAGTTGTTAGGATTTTCTGCTGTAGCTCTTATTGGTTGTCTTTATTGTTCATTCTTCTGGAAATTAGTTTTGACTATTATTCATCTGAAAGTGTGAAGCCAGGTTTAAGAAATTGCGTAATGAGGACAGTATCATAAGAGAAATTAAGAGTCGAACACGTGCTCGTCATAACTGGGAGAAGGTACTTCACTTTCTGAGTAGTATTAATCCAGAGCATGTTTGTGATTCCTACAAGTAACTAATGCTTTATCCAGTTAAGGAAATATGTCATGTACACCTGGCATCCTAGCAACTTGAATGACTAGAGCAGCATTAACAAGCAGAACAGCCTGATGATAAATTCTTGTTGCAGAATTGGATCGTTCCACAAGAAGCAACTGAGAGGTGGCTTTCTATCTCTCGATAACTTGTTCCTGAACTCTAATAAAGTGGTACTAAAATTGTCCATTTTACATATTGATTCGCATTTCTTAAAGTATAACCTAAAACTTTCCATGTAATGTTGCCATTGTAACTTAAACACATTTTTGCATTTCCTTTACTTTTTTTTTTCTTTTAATTTTTTTATGCATCTTGACTTTTATCAAGTATTATTCAACATAAACAAGTTTGCATTTGTTTTGTTGGTTCTATTTTCAGCTTACCAGTAATCTATGCAGTTGTTTTGGACAGCCAGATTGTTTTCTTTGTTTCTTTTTTTGGACCACTCATCATGCTTGAATTTATTTAAAAAATACTAAAAATAAAGAAAATGTTGCATTCTTGCGTTACAATTAGGTATGTATCACTTTTTGATGTAGAACCACTTGTTACCATATATCCTTGAAGAATTTGTTGGTTGTAGGAGTGTGTTTGGAAGTACCCATGACTTGTTCCTTAAACATGGTCAAATGCAGGTCCAATATAATCTTGTATATATGCAAGGAGCATTATGATAATCGTTTTTCTTTCCTTTGGATTTTTCTCCCACACTCAAGGGGAAACCGACCATGGTTATGAGAATTCAAAGTTGTGACTTGAGCTGTGATGTCAAATGAACTATTTGGTGCAGGCAGTTATACCAAAAGCCTATGTTGATGGAGAAGGCAAAGCCACTGAGTAAACGCACATCCACCAATCTACTCGCAAGTTCCTCATGATTCAATTCTTAATTTTAATCCAATGCTGATCCGAAATAAACTTGCAAAGATACAAATCCCTAAATAATCTCTTTTCTACATGGAGAGAACTTTGGGTTGGCCGAAGAGGGCCAAAGATATCGTGGTGCTTTTGTTGAATTTACAAGCTTATTTTGAATCTGCCTTTCACAATGTTGTATTGATTGAGGAATAGCCATTTATGAGTGAAACAATGGATGTAATGGTAGGTTCATTAGCTATAAGGCCTTGTAACAGAGCTCCTGGTTTGTAGTCAATTCCTTGAATACATCATCTTTTTTTTTTTTTTTATCTTTTCTATTTTAAGATGCATTAGTGACGATCAATTGGAGTAGGTTAGTTACGGTCAAGTGGTTTAGGTTATTTGATTTGTATCTTTAATATGGATGATGTTTTGGTAATTTTATGATGTTTCTTGGTTATGGACCCTAGTCTACTTAGTGGAGGTTGTCATTTCAACTTGACCAAAAGATTATTTTTAGTAGCTATATTTCACTTTGTTTAAGAGTACTTTAAAAATTTGGGGTGGATATTTATCTAAGAGGTCAATTCTAAGTCGAACAGAGTTAGTAGAGGGCTTCGTGCCTTATCAAGTGCATTATATAATTCCCAGAACCTTCATGTAGAATTGCAACCATGAAAGGTTTAACTCCCTTCCACATTTCCCGTTCTCTCCAACTGTCACTTCTGAGCCATCTGACCAAATATGCTAGATTTTCAATCTACTAGTCATTTGACAATGTTAGAAAAATTTTGTTGCTGTCAATTGGCATGGTGTTCGACTTAAAAGCTTGGTGTGCAACTCCTCTTCAATGACAAACTGTTAACACCCCATAAGCATTGATATCCAACCACCGCATCCTTGTATGCGGCTTCTCCAAAACCTCCTTTCTAGCTTTGTGCCTTTGCCCAATTTAACCTAATGTTACATTCCTTGCCCTTAGTTTGTTTATTCCCAAATATGATGTTGACCCCTGTACGTCAAATCACACGTAAAAAGGGGCTAAATTGGCAAAATAAGCATTGCGCGCATCGATGTGACACGTCACTTGAAGGGTCAAGCGACCTCCGATTGCCAAATAGACTGCGGCGTTGGAATCAGGACATAGAATTCGCTTAAGTTGAGACTCCTCGCAGTTAAATTGGACGAGATTTGTCCACAGGGATGACCGACACCCAAAATTGATGTGCGACATTGCTCAAATGACATCCGATCGAAGAACGGACTTCGCCGTTGCGTCCGGAACGTCGTTGACATTCAAAATATATATTTTATTTGATCAATTGGTATCGGCCGAGGCAGTGGCACAAATCCTGAGGCAACAATACAAATTGAGAAATTTAGCATACGACGTCGCCCAGACAACGTCCGATCGCAGAACGAACTTCGTCCTATTGACTACAAAATTTTTTAATTAAAATCGCACAGACAAATCATCATGAAATCTTATATCTCATTTAATACATAACCTCGTATTGTTGAAATCTCCAGCTAAATCCCACGAATTCTGTTGAGTTTGTACCTTGCGTCCCTTCCTAAGACGTTCGTCAAAGATCACCTTGCTTTAATGTTGTGTTTTGACGTTAAAAAGAACAAAACTAAAAACCTCATAGAGTTAGGGATCTTTGAGAGCTTGAACCCGTTTCTCCAACCTCATGTCAAAACCTTCAGCCCCTCAAACAACCACGACCCGTTTCCTTCCCCGTCGCCAAACAGAACCGATCTCCTTCCATGGTGCAGTTCACAATCTCCCGTCAAGATCTCCACTAATGAAAGATTTCCAGTAGCTTCGCAGAGAGAACCCTGTCCGCCTTCTATTTATCCAGTAGTTTACGAGCGAACACAGTCTAGGCTTGGTATTATCGGTAAGGTTAAATAATTAATTTTTCCGTTACAAGACAATGGCGAGGATGAGTTCGGTAGTGCTGGGGTCGGTTTTCCGAGATGTTGGACTCCTTCCTAAGAATGCTCCGAGAAATTCAGAAGGAAGGAGACTTTGGATCAGAGGATCTGTTGTTACTTCACCGCAAGGTCTGCTGGCCGCAAACATGAGACCGAAGAACTCAACGAAAGCGGTTTGTGTTGGAGTTTCAGGGGCCAGTGGCTATACTGGGGCTGAGATAGTCCGTCTTCTTGCAAACCATCCCCTATTTTGTATTATTGATGACTGCTGATAGGAAAGCTGGATATTATAAATGGCCTACCTAACGGGCTAAAGATTATCAATCTGTCTGCTAATTTTCAGTTACGAAAGCTTGGTGAATATGAAGAATGGTATGGCCAGCCTCATAAAGCTCCAGAGTTGCAGAAAGAAGCCATATATGGCTTAACTGAGGTTAGGAGAAAGAAGACCAGGGATGCTCAGCTTGTTGCCAATCCTGGTTGCTATCCAACATCCGTACAACTTCTTCTTGTTCCATTAATAAAGGCTTGTAAATTCGATATTGAGAAAGCAAACCAGATGTGGGCTGAAATGTTTCAGTGGAGGAAGGAATATGGTGCCGACATAATCATTGAGGATTTTGATTATGAAGAGTTAGTTGCCTGAAGTTCTGAAGTACTATCCTCATGGATATCATGGTGCAGACAAGGAGAGTATGCCAGTTTATATTGAAAGATTGGGGAATGTTAAACCAACAAACTTATGCATGTTAAAACCATGGAAAGATATGCCAAATATTATGCTAAAGAGTTTGAAAGGAGCTTCCAACTTTTAAGTTTCCAGCGTGTTCTATTGCTGCAAAAAGGCAAATTGATTCTGGCACAACTATTCTAGATGTCTAAGGCGTGGGTTAAAAAAGAAATATTCAGCAAGACTGCAAAGGAACTGTTCAAAAGGCTGAAGAGATTTTCTTAAGAAAATGCTCAAATCACAACTCTTTTTGCAACCGACTTCTTTGAGATAAAGGCTGTTATGGAGATTGAACCTGCTCTTAAGAGGCAGCTAATGATCTACACTGCACTTATGACTGTTGGGATTGCAATTTTTAGTTGGTTGGCCCTTCCATCTTCATTCACTATCTTTAGTTTTGGTACCCAAAAGGAAGTAAAAATTTGGGAATTGTTCTTCTGTGCTACAATTGGCCTTTGGGCAGGCCTTGTGATTGGATTCATTACTGAATACTAAACCAGCAATGCATACAGCCCTGTGCAAGATGTTGCTAATTTCCTGTTAACTAATGTCATTATATATATATATATATATATATATATATATATATATGACACTAGGAGAATAAACCTTATGATAAATGCATCGATCAAAAGTATTTTCTTTAAAACCAAATGAACCAATCACTTGATTAAACTTTTTATAACATTGACGGAAAGCTTGTTTCAAATATAGATGATTTTTTTTTTAATTTGTACAATATATATTTTGAAACAGAAGATTAAAACATTTCTAGTTGCATCATATATATTATTTACTCAATATATTCATTAAGAGTATAATTTTTACATGTATCTAGTGTAGCTCTAAATCATAATGAGCTAATAGTGCAT